CAATATAGGTATATACTAAGTTTCAGTCTTTCTACTGTTAAAATTGAATAGTTATGCACTTTTGTGTCTCTACATAGTGGATCGAATTTTAAATTACGTACACCTGAATATAATTGCGTATGTATGTACACTTTCGGTAAAAGCATCCCTTTGATCAGAGACAGGAAAGTTTGTTGCGCGTGTGCTTTAATCTCGTCTTCGAAATTGACTATGCCTGGGGATCAAAGTGAATAATGTGCCCGTAAATAGACGGTAGCGAGTGAATTTTACAAGGGTTAAACAGATTTCAATCATTTCCTGCAAAATAGTTAATCCAGCTGATACACTGCACTTTATATCAGTTAGCTTCTATTATCTCGTCGATAATAAATAGACTGCGGATTTCTATGCAAAATAAAACGTTGCCAATTTCCTTTAAAAACAATTATAAACATTTCACTTTAAACATTCTAGTTATTCTCGGATATCGAATACGTTCTTTACAGTTTTCGCTTTTTTCTAAAAATTCCCATAAAATCGTTTGAGTGACAAATGAATTTCATACATTTTGTGAAAAATAGTGTCAGAACGAAGTTTACTGAAGAAAACGTGATTGCTAGTTTGTTTATTAACAGGATATTACTGGGTATTGCTGGCTGCGAGTCTGACTCTGTTTCCGTAGGAGAAAATTGGAAAATCAGTTTCAGCCACGGAGCGCTGATTACTTCGATGTGAAACGGGAAAACAACACGGGTTTTGTATCGCACGAGCAACGTTGCTAACTGGTTACCAACAATCTGTCCGTATACATAGAAATCATTACACCCGCGGCACGCGTGTAGTATCCGGCTGTACATTGTCGCGTACCATTTAAACTCCACCGAAGTGCAAGTTATTGTCGCGGTATAACACCGGCCTGTTAAATGCTTCTTTGTTCCATTCCGCGTCCGGGGAGAAGTTTGCTTTTTGACAACGTAACGACCTCCGTATCGAAAACTCGACGTTCCGACGTCGTAATTACTCGTAAGTTCATGATGTTATAAGGCGCCGAGCGGAGCAATGGAAATGAGAAGGTGTCCATTGAAAAAGTGCAATATTTTTTACCATTCAAATGTTGTTCACATAAACGAAAATATTTCTGAGACAAAGTATGATTGTATAAGTATGAAAAAGCTGTTATAAGATTCTTGGAACATTTGATATAAAAAAATGTTTAGGTATTGCAATGAATTTAAAGAAAAATTGTATTATACTACACTTCTTCTTGAGTATAATCATACTAAAAAAATGAAGATATATTGTAAATTTTCACTCACTAACGATTCAAGGGTTAGAAGAATTTAAAGAATTATTTTATGACGCAATGCGCAGACTATAATAGTGGCTGTCGATTATCATTAGAAGATTTATCATCGTCCATTTTATTGGACACTCAAAAATTACGATCGCTAAACTTAAATATCAAATAATAGCGCTTAACAATTTTACGATGACCGTAAAGTGAAATATTTAATTATACACTGTTGTTCCTTACTGTAACCTCCTTATAGTTTTCAACTTTTTGATGTCACGATAAAACCGCATAAGTTTAAACCTACCGAAGTGCAAATTAATAATAGAAAATAAAGTCTATGTATTTATAACAATGCATTTAATATTCACTTTTTAAATTCACTGATTAAAATGAATTAATATATTCTATAGAATAATTAAAAGTTGTATGATTCAAACATAGAGATGCAGTACAGGTACTCACTTTTTGATACACACTCGAAATGATATAAATTTAGGAAGTTCGAAGTATCATTATACGCGTTTGAACAATTGGCAGTGCAACGTACAGCGTCAATAGGATACATCACTGTCCAGATTCAGATTTATCGACCACCATTACCGTTCGGTCAGGGTAATTAGAACGGAGCTGCAAAGAACCGAGCCAAAACGAAACTTTTTCTGCGCAATCCAAGAACAAATCTTAGCATTCTTTTCCTTTTATTTTTTTGTTTCTTTTTCAGTAAATCCGTTCTTTATCTATACAGCCTCTTCTCTTCGTCGAATCCTCTCGTTTCACCCATCGGTTTGCTCCATTACTTGTTTCCACGGTTTCGCATTTCTCATGTTTCCGATCCAATTACTCCGTCACGATTTATTTACTATGAAATCTCTTGCGAGGGCAAAATGTACTCAAAATCTGATACCTCAATCCGCATTCAGAGAAATCGATCGCGGTATCCTTGACTACTGACAATGGTATCAAAAATATATCTGACAAACGTAGGAAAGACAATTTTACATAAAAATGCGTAAAACGTCTTTTTAGATGATTTTCAATCATACTAAAACAGAGTTACTATAACTGAGTTTCTGAATATTGGCCGACCCTTCTTATCAATGTTCTCCAATAGTTATTGACGAGAAGCTGAAAGAATTATCGAAAAGCAAGAGAAATACTTCATAGAAAATTAAACCGCGGAGTGATAGAACGACTTTAACGTATCCATTGAAATACTCGGTTAAAAGAATTGCTCATTGTCGATGAGTGTTGTCGCAGAAGCGTGCATCTTTCGGACGTGTCCCGATGAAAACAACGCGGCGTATATTCAAACGCGGTGACAATGGTAATGCGTTCGCTGTATTTAATCAAGCGACAAACAGTCGCGCGCATTGAGTTAACCGAGCATTGCAGTTCGCGCCGCGGCAACCCCTCTCGTCAAATCGTTCTAGCGTTCCGTTCTGTGTGACCACGAGTCCGGATAAAATAGTACTGTTTGAGAGGCGCCGTTCCTCATCCCTAGCGACTGGTACCCTTCGACGTCCT